GAATAGCCCTCAGCTGAGAGGATCTGCCTCACCCAAGATTATGCTCCTCCCCTGGTTGGCTGACATTTGGTGACTGGTGGATGCTGGGTAGAAAGACCCAGCACCCTTATCTCAATTGAAGACAAATCTGTCAAAGGACCATTTCAGCTCCTTAGGTAAGGGTGCTGGGCCCTATTTTTATAGTAGATAGCTGCTGTTCTCCATAAAGTTGTTTGCCAAGTAATATGGGAAGTAACCTTCCATCCATCTCTCTGCCTTACTCTGAAATCTTCCAGTATCCTGCATGAGTGATTTTGCAGTAGAAATTTCAGAAGAGGCTGAATTTCATGGGAGAACCCATGTCACATGGAATAAAGGTAGCATATGTGGCATGGGATCTCAGAGGCTGAGAAGTATAGAAGACAGCCCTCTGGGAATTGAGGAAGACTTTGGACTTCGACAAGCCAGGGATTTGTTGGGGTTTAGACTCATTTTATCCACATGTTAAAGGACCTTAACACCTGGTTTGCACATATAAAGCAACTTTTCTATGAGAGGTGCTGTTCATAAAAATTTTCCCTTTTTCCCTTTCTCTATGCTCCCAGTCCATATGCTCATGCGCTCGCACGCTCTCCCTCTCTCTCTCGGTGGAATCCTTTGAGGATGGGGATTTAACCTTTTCCTAATATTCTCAGGACCTTGTATGGGACCTGGCATAGAATAGCTATTTAGTAATTGAATGAATGAATGAGGGACTTTACCTCTTTTACTTCTTTAACCACCATGATCATGTTCCTTGCTCATAGATCTCAGTTTCAAGGTATTTATTTAGGCCAACTGCTGAGCATGGAGCTGTGCTCAACACTGAAGAAAGCAGAGCCAGCAGTTTTTTTCTTGCATCTGACAGCATCCAGACTTCCCTTTTTGCTTCTGCAATCTGTCAATCTGCTGCATGAGCTGACAGGAGCTGTCACTGCAATAGGTAATAATGTAAGTCACATACATAATTCATTTCTAATTACACAAATACACCTTTCACACAGCTTTATGTCATAATGTTCTGGCTCTAAACGACAATGTAAATACATTTCAATCACGTTCTCATTAGGATTGAATTACTAAAGGTGAATTTAAACATGAGCAGCTCTGATCTGCAGAATTAAACTTCTAGACAGTCTATCCATCCATTTAAAATGGTGTATGACAAAGGAGCGAGTGAAAAAAATCTGGCTGGCATTTCATTTGAGTGGCTCAATTATGGCCTACAGTCACATTGCCTGAGCAACTGTGTCTTAATATTATGTTGGCAAGATTAAAATTTTGACTGTGACTCACAGCAAACAACATGTATAATTAGCATATGGCTTTGTTTTTCTGACTTGTTCCCAAATTAATATATTGTATCCTAGAGGGATTTGTAGATATGCTATTTTGGTATTCAAGGAAGGCTTCAACATGACTTGGTAGAAAGGGATATTATTCTGTCTTACCTTGTATGATATAAATGTTTTTGGTTTAGACCAGTTTCCTATGGCACTTTTCTATAGCTAACCTGTGATCTTTGCTTCAAACCATTACAAACTTCTATCCCTAAGATATTCTGTTGTTCACAAAACCAATACTAATTCAGAATATAGCTTTTATGATGTAAAAATTGTAAAAAAAAAAAAAAAAAAAAAAAAAAAGTGCCTTGACAGACAATAGTTTGTTGGAGTTTGTTACACTTACTTGAAAACCTGAAGTGTTTGGTGTAATTTAATCTTTACAATTTTTTTAAGATTTATTAAAAAATTATTTTTTTGAGTAAGAAGGTAATCAAATTCCAAAGCAGACCAAAATTAACAATTCCTTTAGTTTTGTTTTTTGAGGAAATGTAAACAAAATACTGAAGACTTTTTTTTGAGTAGTTAAAAAAAAAACAACATCATAGATATCTACAGCATAAAAATTCCGGCCAGGCATGGTAGCTCACACCTGTAATCCCAGCACTTTGGGAGGCCGAGGTGGGCAGATCACAAGGTCAAGAGATCAAGACCATCCTGGCCAACATGGTGAAACCCCATCTCTACTAAGAATACAAAAATAAGCTGGACATGGTGGAATGTGCCTGTAGTCCCAGCAACTTGGGAGGCTGAGGTAGGAGAATTGCTTGACCTGGGAGGCAGAGGTTGCAGTGAGCCGAGATCATGCCACTGCACTCCAGCCTGAGCTACAGAGCAAGACTCTGTCTCAAAAATAAATAAACAAATAAAAAATAAATCCTTTGTACCTGCAACATATTTATTTTCACGTATTCCTTTTTTTTTTTTTTTGAAGTAGAGATAGGATCATGCTATGTTGTCCAGATTGGTTTCAAACTCCTGGCCTCAAGAAGTCTTCCTGCCTCTGTCTCCCAAAATATTGGGATTACAGGTGTGAGCCACTGTACCCATTCCCTGTTTTATTATTAAAAATTTCATCTCTGGGGGTATGCATAGTTTATGTAGTAATTATAGATGAAGTTAGAATTTGAAATTGGGAGTCAAAATCCTTCCTATTTCTGGATGTGTCTGCGAGAGTGTTTCCAGAAGAGATTAGCCTTTACCTCTAGAAGAGATTTGCTTTACCAACGATGTTTGTATCATCCAATCTTCTGAGGACCTGAATAGAATGAAAAGGCAGGGAGGGTAAAAGTACTTTCTGTTTGAGCTGGAACATCCATATTCTCCTATCCTCTGACATCAGAGCTCCTAGTTCTCGAGCCTTTGGACTCAGACTGGGACTTAAACTATCACCCATGTCTTTGTTCATTTGAGGTGCTACAGCAAAATACCATAAACTGGATAGCTCATAAACAACAGAAATTTGTTTCTTACAGTTCTGAAGGGTGGGGAGTCCATGAACAAGGCACCAGCAGAGCCAGTGTCTGGTGAGGGCCTGCTCTCTGTTTTCATAGATAGCACCGTGTAGCTGTGACCTCACATGGTGGAAGGGACAAGGAGTCTCTCTTGGGCCTCTTTTATAAAGGCATTAATTCCGTTCATGAGACTCTGCCCTCATGACCTAATCACCTCCCCAAGACCCCACCTCCTAATATCACATTGGTAATGTGGTTTCAACATATGAATTTGGGAAGGACACGAACATTCAGACTATAGCAACCCCTTATCCCCTTCTCAGGCCTTCAGACTCAGACTGGGACAGCAGATTTTTGGGACTTCCTGCCTTCTATAATTATGTGAGTCGATTCCCAGAAAAACTCTCTCTATATATATCTATATATCTCTTTCTATTTATCTTCTATTGGTCTGTTTCTCTGGACAATTCTGACCAATACAGATATATACCGCTGTTTAGCATCTGAGTGGAACAAAATTACAACTGCTACATTTGTTTAAAGAAAACCTATAGGAATGTCAATCTAATGCTTCCATCTCTTACATAAATATAATGGTGCTAAGTAAAAGTTTAGTATTTATAAACCTCTGTTTATTATGTATGCAGTATAGCCATTATGGACTAATATAAATAAATGAGATAAGATAGGATCAAAGGTTTTCTGAAGCAGACCAAAATGAACATGTGAAAATCAGGTGCTTGAAACATGTGATAACCTACATTTATTTATCTCTTTAAAGTTAAGTGGTTTGCTCCTCACAACAATGCTGAGAGTTGAACAGAGCAAATACTCTATTATCTCTGTTTTACAGATTTAAGGCTTACAGAGATTAAATAATTATTCAAGATCATTCAGTGACAGAGCTGAAATTTGAACACCAGCCTCTCTTTTAACTCAAAATCCGAAGCTCTTTCCAGTGCACTGTCCTGCCTTTTCTGTGATTTCACCATGCCAGGTTCCTGAGACAGATATAAATGCAAGAAAAAAATGAACTAATATGAGTGTTTCATATCATGTTCTCTTTTCAAGTGAATTAATTAAAGAATTGGGTTTTGGATTAAAGTGTGTGAATTTCATGAGATCTGAATCTTATGTTTATCCTTTCACGGAACAATAGACATGGTATTTTAATATCGAAGCAGTTGATTTGATTGACTACCCTTTCTGCTCAGATTGCTCAAACCGACAACTCACAAGACAAAAACACAAGGTCACAAGACACTGTGGGCTGCATCCAGCTTTAGATTTACTCATCTTTAAGAAAGCATACACACCAAGCAACGAGAAAGCATGGATTGCAAAAGCAGAGTGGAAGTCTTACGAGTCCAGGCTAGGCTTCCAAATATCTCAGTCTCTCCGTACCGAGGATACATGTGGTCATGTGAGACAAGACTGAATGTGTGTGGAAAACCACCATTAGTGGGAGCTGTCAGCTCTGGGATTCTTTCAGCTTTCATACTCTGTTAAGGTGGGAAACAAAAAGTATACATGGAGGTCAAAATATCCCTTTCATTTTTTATAATAGCTTACTTGATTGACTTGACTTTACATCTGTTACCCAAGTGGGTTGTTAATACTGAGCTCTGTCCTACCCATGAGGAAATGCTTCCCAGGTAAGCTTCAGGGTTTGGAGGCACAGAAGAAGCTTGTGTTTTTTGTTTTCTTGTTGTTGCTGTTTTTGAGATAGGATCTTGCTCTGTTGCCCCAGCTGGAGTTCAGTGGCACTATCATAGCCCACTGCAGCCTCGAACTTCTGGGCTCAAGGTATCTTCCTACCTTAGTCTACCTAGTAGCTGGGACTATAGGCATGTGCCGCCATGCCTGACTAACTTTATTTTATTTTTTGTAGAGATAGGCTCTCGCTATGTTTCCAGGGCTGGTCTTGAACTCCTAGCCTCAAGCGGTCCAGCCACCTTGGTGTCCCAGAATGCTGGGATTACAGACAAGAATCACTGCACCCTGCCTTGAGAGCTTGTGTTTTCTACAAGCAAACTCACTTCCAGGAGGAAGAAGGTGGAGATATTTCCCTTTTTTTAAAAAATTTTTTTATCTTGCAGTTTTTAAAAATTGAGGTAAAATTCACATATTATAAATCATAATTAAAAATAATTTATTGAGGTGAAGTTTATGTAGCATAAAATTGATTATTTTTTTTCAGAGTTTTAAAATGAATTTATTAAAGAAGGTTCTTAGGAAGGCAACAACTTTTGTCATTAAAAAAAGTTATTTTTTTCATGCTGTATAATAAAGGTAATGTAAGAGGCTACAGAGTTGTAAGTTTCTTTCTACTGGAATTCTCTGGTATAGCACAGTGTAGTCATTTCTGCAGTTCTAGAATAAATAAAAAGTCTCTTCTATGCTTCTCTTCAAAAGCAATGAATAACAGAAGATGGCATAAAAAAGCTATATTTTTTCTATTCATTCTGTAGTATTGGAGCCAGTATTTTTACCAGCACAGGCTACAATTTTCACTTTATCCACTTTAGTAAGTTCTGTCACCTCTCTGAATTCAACATCATTCAATACAAAAGTCCACACATTATCGCAGAATCTGTATGTATTTAGAGAGCCCCTGAAATTGACTCTGTTCCTGACCCTCTGAGCCAATGCAGAATTTATAGCCTTATCAAACTGAAGTAGAACTTGAAGGGCAAGTTGGGGAGTGATCTGTTGAGACTGTATGAGCTCATCTAGGCTCTCCTGAAGATTGTTTCTCAAAGTGGTGTTTCTGTATAACTGATATGCCATGGCTTAGGAGGAAGAATTTGTTTTTCTTATTCAAGCTTGCATTGATGTCCTGTGGGGAAGGTGCTTCCTGCCGCGGAGCGGAAAGAAGCCGCCATGAGCCTGGCAGGAGGTTCCTACTTCCCCGACCACCTCTCCAGCCACCGCAGAAAACCCTAAAATTGATTATTTTAAGTGAACAATTCAGTAGAATTTAGTACATTCACAATGTTGTTTAGCCAACACCACTGTCTTATTCCAGAACATTTTCATCACCCCCAAAAGAAACCCCATACCTGTAAGCATTTACTGCTAGTTCTGGGATGAACTGTGACCATCGAGGTCCCTTTCATCTTCTGCTGTAAAACGGCAGCAAGGGAAGGAGGGTGACTGAACTTTTGAGGTTCTGTAGAGGTTGTTCCTCAGGGCCATGAAAGTAGGGTTGGGATGGGGAGTGACAGTGCACTGAGCAAGGTTCTAGTAGGTCCTTTATCCCACCTGCTGGTTGTCAACAAAGAGTTCCAGTGACTTCTACAGCAGGCCTGTTTTCACTTTCCGTTTGTATTAGTCAGAGTTCTTCAGAGAAACAGAAACAATATGAGGTCTCTCTCTATATGTCTATATCTATATCTCTGTATCTCTATATCTATCTATATACTTAGAAATTTATTTGTTTTAAGAAATTGGCTAAAGGGATTGTAGGGGCTGGCAAATTGAAAATCTGTAGGGTAAGCCAGCAGGCTGGAAACTCAGGCAGAATTTCCATGTTGCAGTTTTGAGGAATTCCTTCTTTTGGGAACCTCAGTCTTTGCTTTTATTACTTTCAGCTGACTGAATGAGGGCTACTCACATTATAGAGGGTAATCTGCTTTACTTAAAGACAACTTAGTGTAAATGTTAACCACATCCACAAATACCTGCATGGCAACCTCTAGACTACTGTTTGACCAAACAACTGGGCACCATAGTCTAGCTAGGTTGACATAAAATTAACCATCACATCATTTACTCTCATTTATTTTATTTTAAATTAATAGCAGCTGTGTAATACTCATTGCGTGCCAGGGACTCTTCTAAGTGCTTTATGAATATTCATTTAATATATACATATATGCTTATTAACAAGGACCCATTATATGTACTTGAATACAAATATTAGTGTATAAATACAAGTTCATGACTTGTTAGTATGGTTCACCAAATACTTGTTTTTTCCTCTTATTTATATACCTTTTGTTCATGCTTAATCTCAGTCACTAAACTTTTTATTTGGACTTATTTCCCTGGGTATCCTCTAATGACTTTTTCCTGGGCTGTTCCCTTTCTCCCAGCATTCTTGGACTCCCTGCTCCTATTTTGTGGCTGTAATTGTCAGAAAACCTGTAATACGGGGGCTTAAGTGAGGTAGAAGTTTATTTCTCAGGTGAAAGTCTGGGACGGCAGTCTGGGCTGGTGTGGTAATTTCAGTCGCTGGGGACCCCAACTCCTAGCTTGTGGCTCCCCAGTCCCTATTATGCAGCTTCCACCTTGTGTTATGCACTGGCTCCAGCAATCACATTTGCATTTCAGCCAACAAAAAAGAGAAGGAGAAGACTTCCTCTTAAGGGCTTATTCTCAAAATTGCATACCACACTTTCATTTACATCCCATTGATCAAATTAACCACGTGGCAAGGTGGAGATATTCTTGATAAATTTACCAGTCAGAGAAGTCACTATCTCCCAAGGGCAAGGGTGAAACAGGTTGCAAAGGGAGGCCAGGAGTTAAATAAACTGAGCTCCCTTCACCAGAAAGGTGAAGAAGCACTTCCCTCTGACAATGGACTGTCAGCACAATTTTAATGACACCAATGGATGTAAAGCCATTCACTAGATACTGGGTATGGTGGGGAGTGTGGTACCTAATAAGCTTTGAAAAAGTAGTTTATAAGAGCTTTGCAAAGAACATTGGTGTACCTATAGGCTATGGTTTTGGTTTTTGTTTTTGGCATTGTCAAATTTGTTATCAAGTTTTGGACTGAGTGATTATTTATATGATTGTTATTTAATCTGTCATAATGAGAGCAGCAGTAGTGCTGATAGCCTGTGGCTTATATCAGCGCTTTAGAAATGTTAACAAGTAATGACTATTTTCTACTGTTAGCAATAACCGTAGCAATAGTGTGTCACATTAACCTTTATCCTCTGAATCCTATTCATATTTTAAATTTCAATCACTAGCAAAGCATACGCTGCTAGCTTTATTATCTGAAACCAGCTGCTCTAATCTTTCTTCCTTTATTTATTCAGACCTCTACCTTAGGAGGGAACCATCAAGGAGAAGCCTTGTGTTTTCATCATGAGGCCTCATTAAACACGATAAGGGTGGAATGTAGCCAGATTCCCCCCGATGGTTGGCCTTGGAAATCAGTTTCTAATTATGGGGGCATCAAACAAGGTGGCTCTAAGGCAGCTGTGAGTGATGCTTTTTTTTTTTTCCTTCCTGGCCTTTATGTTCTCTTCTCAGTGGCTAAACTAACTTAAGCTGGCTCACGCATTACACCAGAGTCCAGAGGCAGTTAGGAGGGGCCACAGCTCTGGCCAAGTCAAGGGCATGCCAACTGGAATAAGGGACTTGGTTTATCACACAGAGCAGCCACTATCCTGCTCAGTCTAGTGATTAAGGAGAAGTTCCTGGGGCAGAGATTAGGGAAATTAGGAGTGGGCAAGTGTAAGAAAGCAAGAGGAAGGTGAATGGGGTGGCCAAAGCCCCTGTTCAGACCCCAGTTCATGGGCTGATTTATGAAACCAGGTTATGGGCCTCTCTGAACTTCTGGCTCAATCCTGAGGTGCCTGGGTGTGTGTGTGGAAGGCCCTCTGGCAAAGCCTAGGGTGATGGAAACATGGTACCTAATACTAGGGTATCTACTTCTGATTATTTGGTAATTTTACTCTTAATTACCAAAGGAAAAAATTATTTATTACCTTTTCCCCTCAGTCTTCTCTCGCTCAGAGTCTAAGTTAAAAATTTCACAGTGGCCTCCAGGCCTAACATGATCTGGCTCTATTATCTTTCTGACCTCATCTCCCCTTCACTAACATTCCCACTGTCCCCCTTGCTATACCTTAAATGCTGAGTGTGCTCCTGCCTCAGTTTTTCCCATGGTGTCCTAGAGGCTGGCCCATGGTGAGTACCTGCTTAGCAAGTTGTTGAGGGCTTGAAGAATGATCCGTGGTGTCCAACCTTTCTATGGAAACAAAGGGAAATGTGGGACAGGGAAAGACCATTGGATGAGTACAAACACTTTCTCTGTAGTGGAGGCACTAAAAAGTGGCTTTGAGATCAGTTAGTTATATTGTCATATTGTCTTTGGCGATAAGATTCTTAGAAGTGGTTACGCCCTTAAAAGATGGGAAAGAGCTACATGATTCAGAGGGTTGACCAAATGCCAAAGAGCATTGCTGTCCATTTGTTTCCCATACACTGTGAACCACCATTGACTATGCAGAACTAGAGCCTTAAAAAATATAATGGGCAATAAAGAAGGCTCTGGTGCCTGTGTATTGAGATGGGATTGAGATCAATAAATTTTTCTATTGCTTGTTAACAATCCATACCCTTTATAAAACTTTCTAGTCCCTTTAATTAAGCTAATTTGGGATGCAAACACTGTAAATTCCCCCTCTAATCTTGGAACTCAGTAACCTCCAGTATTTAGTTTCCATGCAATAAGTTAACCTCCAAAGGGTGGAAAAATTTTTAGAAATCCTTGTTTAGAAAGCATTGCAGACATAGGAATAATTAATATATACTTTAACATTTGATGAGACAGCAAGTCCAGAATGATTACTCATTCAAGTTGAAAGGGAGATATAAGAATCTAATTATAGGACAATGTTTTAAAGGTACCTGTGCGAGACTTACCATTGAGACATGGTCACTTCACTTATTTTCTGTGTAGCAAAGTAGACCTTTGGCATTTCTGGTCTTCCCCAGCTCCTGATCCACAAAACTTAGCCACAAGGCTAGACTGGAATTCAGACTGCCCTGTCTTATGCTGCATGGCAGCTTTCTCAGTAAGACATCAAAGGAACCTGGCTTTGGTTACCACTTTGAACTAGACTAGAAATTATTTCCACTAACTGCTGGAGAGCGCCCCTCATGGCTGTGCTCCACCATGAACATATTGAATAGCATTGCCAGACAGAAACACATAATGGAGAGCTGCTTTATTTATCAGAAGCTCTGCAAAAGAAAGAAATTTCAGAGCTTAGAGAGGAATCTCGTGTACTTGCTTCTTATGAGAATATTACCATAAAAATACCACTTCTGTCATCCAAGGGAGAGAAAGCTGTTTTCAGATGTAGGAGAGATGTCCAGTGGAACCTAATGGTTTGTATAATTCTGGGCTTAAAAAGGACTTCATATTTGAAAAGTGATGTTTGCAGCAATTTTGGCCTATCCCAAAAGAACCACAGTCTTCATCTTAATTAGATAAATAGAAAGTCAGCATCATTGCAATACGATGTTCAAAGCCCTTGGCTTGGAATCAGCAGATTTGGAGGTTCTAGTCAGAACTCTGCCATTGATTTGGCTTCTGATTATACGGAATTCTTAATTTTTGCACTTTAATAATAATAATAATGAGTCATTCATTGATGGCTTACTATGTGCCAGACATTTTCCTAAATGCTTTATATGCATCATTTCATTTATTCCTCTTGTCAATCCTAGGACATGGGTATTATTTATTATCCTCATTTTACAGGGAGGATACTGATGCCTAGAAAGGTTAAACGCTTCCCAAGAGCACAATGCTAAGAGCTGGATCTGATCCCGGGTTGATGTGGCTATAGAACTTGTTTGTATGCACCAGGCTTAAATTCACAAGCTAAATGAAAATTTAAGGAATATCTTTTTTTTTTTTTTTTTTTTTTTTTTTTGAGACGGAGTCTCATTCTGTCGCCCAGGCTGGAGTGCAGTGGCCGGATCTCGACTCACTGCAAGCTCCGCCTCCCGGGTTCACGCCATTCTCCTGCCTCAGCCTCCGGAGTAGCTGGGACTACAGGTACCCGCCACCTTGCCCAGTTAGTGTTTTGTATTTTTTTAGTAGAGACAGGGTTTCACCGTGTTAGCCAGGATGGTCTCGATCTCCTGACCTCGTGATCCGCCCGTCTCGGCCTCCCAAAG